AACAAGTATAGCAGAAGCAAACATTAAAAAAGTAATGTTCAAATACGTTTCCCTTCTCATTCCACTGCCCTACAACACAACAAAGCTACTTCTGAAAGTAAGTGTTTGATTTAATGTTTGCTTTGCAGTTAAGATTACTTGAGAAGAGAACATTCTAATTAAATTCAGGTAGTGGCAAACAATCCTTCTTGGCTAGCTTGTCTGACTCTTAGCTACTAGGACAAAAGTCTCCCAAGAAATTGATAGATGCTTTTGCATAACATGTTGGACGAGAGTTCAAGAGACTAATTGGTAGCGATGAATTCACGGGCCATAGAACTAGAATGAAGAGCGGTAAAGACTGAAGTTATGCCAAGTGTATTTATTTATTTATTTTTAAAAAAGGGGGAGGGGAAGGATTGTTGATACCCCACCCCCAAAAGAAAGATAATTCAAAGAATAAGAGAAAGCTTACAGAGTAGTTTTTAAAGACTTACTTCAGGCCTAAATATTCAGGTTTCAGTATTTTTCAGGAAGTTCAAAGTTCCTTCAGAGGCAGGAAGGAAAGCAAGTAGGATTTTATGCTAACTAAGCATGGGATTTTCTGCTGTCTAGTTTTAGAATTGTGCTCATTAAAAAAGTGAAGGAAAGAAATATAAGGCTCCAAGGCTGGTAGAATGTGGTCATGTTCAGGTATAGTGAAATCAGAACTGGATGTAAGTCACTTGTGATTGTAAGGAATGAGACATGAGCAGGATCTGAGGCACCAGTGGTTGTTGTCTATGATGCAGTAGCTGTTCAGGAGACAAACCAAATCAAATATCATAATATCTATTGTATAGAGCAGGGATCTTCAAACTTGGCCCTTTAATGACTTGTGGACTTCAACTCCCAGAATTCCTCAGCCAGCCATGCTGACTGAGCAATTCTGGGAGTTGAAGTCCACAAGTCATAAAAGGGCCAAGTTTGAAGACCCCTGGTATAGAGCATGTAATTATTATTATTTGACCATGTAACTAAAGAGAAGTAGGAAACTTAGAAAAACCATGGCAGCTGATGGAAAAAATCAATGGACCACTGAATAAAAGGCCTACAATATGTAGTAGTACATAGTAACCTGCAACCTGTCAACACTTGTCAGTAGTACCTCCCACTTGTAATCCCAGCAACTAATACAAAAGATAAATAATCATAATGACAGACAGCCCCTGACAGCCTTCCTTATTCGTGTTAACAAATCTTCTTTGTTCTGGCTGAAAAGCATCTTTACATCATGACATTACTTCGGACTTTAATTAAGAAGGAATACTTCCTTTTATTAAGCCAGAATATCTCTATTCATCTTATTGGATGATCCCGGGAATTAATATTTTTAGTGTAATATTTTAAACCCTCTGCCACTTTTTCCATACCATGCAATATTTTATCACTCATCAGATCCTCCCTATTCAGTGTTTTTCTAAGGGAAAAAGTCCATTTACTGTAACTATTCATCACAGAGCTCTATTCACACCTGCGATTATTTTGATTTGTCAAGTTTTATATCCTTTCCAGTTTGGGTTACAAGTGAAGCCCCAAAGGTGCTTTTCAAAAGGCTACTGGATTTTCTTGACAAGTCCATGACCTGGATGATTGAGAATCTCCATAGACATTTACAAGCAAAGCCACCATAAAGTTTGGCCGTGCAAAACCCACCAGCTGCTAATGCCCCCTTATTCTATTCCAGTCCTTCTTGTCCTTCATTTCCTTCTGCAACAGTTACAAATCCAGCAATTCTTATCCTCTGAAATGGAGCAACATATGCTTGTCCTGATCAGTGCTAACATTGCAGAGTACAAGAGTACTTTTGTGCTCTTCGGGCATGTAACACATCCTGCCAAAACCGTGAGATTGTGTTCTTTTATAGACTGATGGGTTACTAATTATAAAAGTAGAACAGCTCCCAAGAAACCAGATTTAATGGAAAGCAATTAGAGAGCAATGGTGCTCCTTGGATTCAGAGACTGACGTATTTTTAAAAAGGAAGTGAAGAGATATATAAATTTTTGCTCTCTGGGTTTTTTCCTACTTGTTTGTAGCTTTTGTTGTTGCATTTTTATTAAAATCACAAGAGGAAACGTCCTCATAATAGTTTGTGGGATGACATCCCTACAGAATAGAACAACAAATAACAGAAGGACAAACTTTATATGATCAGTCCACATACTTTCCATTTGCTAGACATTCTTTTCTCACTAAGAAAATAACTCCTAAGGTCATCATAGTTCTTTCTCTTAAAGGGGCAGAAATAGATATGCCCAAATAGGATGTTGTTTAAACTTTGTTTTTAACATAAAAGACTCCAAAAGCAATTTGATGGTTTAAAGAAGAGAAAAAACAAATAGCACCAAAAATAATATTGTATTAAGAAGAAGAAAATGTGATAGATGTGATCCCAGTTACAAAATTCATAAGGGACTTTCAGTGTGAGATCTTCAACAAATTTGAGAGTGCACTTATTTTTCATCTTATTCTCAATTTCTTGGTCTTTGGTCTCATTGGTCTCATTCTGTCACAATTTCATGAAATCATACATGAACCAAACCTTCACATACACTATAAGATAGAGTAAGTAAGACTTCATAGCATAGTAAGTAGGACTTTATAGCATAGATGCCATCTATGACATTAAACAGAGACGATCCATAAGACTGTTCCCATGTCTAAAAGTTCTAGCCATAAGAAGATGAGGGAGAAGAAAGAGAAGAAGAGGGAGAAGTCAATTTTTTTCCAATAATGGTTGCAGTTCCCAGAGAGATTTCCAGATAAAATGTTTCTGTTGCTATCATCATATTTAGCCACTGTTTTTTATAGCGGTCAGATGTCATCTTCTATCTGGAACTTTCTTGTTTCTTATCAGAGAAAAGGAGAATCTAAATGTAAAAACTGATCTCTGTGTCGGTTTTCTGTATACCTCGATGTTGAGGCTATTGTCTTCCTTAATGTGTACTGCACAGTCCAGGAAAGCTAGACGATTCTCCTTGACATCTTCCCATGTGAATTTAATGTACCTGTCCACAGTATTGATGTGCTTGGTGAAGGTTACTATTCCCCCCTTAGAGAAAGTCGCCTCTTCAGAAGCAATGCCCTATTTCTAACTACGTACATTTTCATTCCCTAGATCAGACATGTCAAACACAAGGCCTGGGGGCTGGATGCGGCCTGCGAAGTGGTTTCATGTGGCCCGTGAAGTCATCCTGGAAACAGTGAGGGAACGGCCCCCACTCCCTTGGCCCTGGCCCAGTCCGTCCGGGAGCCAATGTACAATTTTGCAGTGGCCATCTATGCTGAAATACATTCAGTCTTAGCTCCACAAGGCCATCTGGAAACAGCGAGGAACCAGACCCTGCCGTGTCGCCCCACCCCCCCTGGGTGCATGCTGGTGAGGTGTCACCCTTTGTGAGGAATGAAGAAATGCACCATCGCCTGGAAGTGGCCAGCAAATGGCCCTTGCCTACTTCACATATCCGGCTTGATGGGCTCTGCTCTGGTCCCATCCCTTTCTGCCAGAGACCCTCAGATCTGTCCCACTCCTGCCCAGGCCCCCACAGGCACCCTTGATGCGAATGATGTAGATTTGGCCATGCCCACCCAGTAGATTCAGGTAGACCTCGTTTAGCAACTGCCTCACATAGTGATCATTTGCATTTATGACAGTGTTGAAAAAGTAACTTTGCAACCGGTCCTCACATATATGGATATTACAGGTCTGTAAAGCAAAGAAGAGCTGAAGTAAGGTCATAAGGACAGCTGTGGTGTAACTTAATGACCACTTTGCTTAACAGCTGAATTGCTGGTTCCAATTATGGTCGCTAAACAAAAACTACCTGTGCTACTTTCTCCTTTTGCACTTCCACCCACCTCTGTGGATGACTCTATTTCTTTTTCTTTTTTAATAATATTTTTATTGATGACTCTATTTATTGATGACTCAATCGATGATTCTATTTCTTAGTCAATCGAGACTGGGATATTTTTCATACGAACTTGGGGGCATTCTTCATCTGAGCTATAGTCCCTGAATGGCCGCACATTCTGATTAAAAATGTGACTTCCACCCACAGAATAGGAAATCTTAGCTATATTAAAAAAATAGTACATTATGGAATTATAGTTTAAGCTATATCACAGGATATAGAATTTGACTAACACTAAAAGTGCACTGATGACGTTACCTTATTTGGCTAATGAAAACATCTGCAAGAAAACAACCAAGCTCAGGGAACACCAAAAACCCCTGACAACAGGGGTGTCAAACTGCCGGTCCGCGGGCCGGATGCATCATAGCCGGCAATGGAAAAAAAGTTGTGATACATCGCGATACGTCATGTGATGTTGTGAGTTTGACACCCCTGCCTTACAACAACATCTGACAGTCAAATTTTGGCCTTCCATGATGCTCCAGGCAGGGTTGTCCACTATGATACGTGGAATTGGGGCAAAGCACAAGACTCCATTTCTATGCATATTATTGGTTCTCCTTCAATGTAGCATCACTGTAGATCCTATTAATCCTGGATGGGCTGGGACCATGAGCAGACACCATGGAAGAATCAAGGTCCATTTAAGCAAACCAAAATACAAAAAAAAAAAAGTTTGGACTTGGGTTGTGAAGATTCACAAAATCTTGTACATCTTAAATGACTCCTCCCAGAGGTGTATGTTTCATTCCTGCAGATCTTTGTATTATATATGCTGCTGGTTGAAGGGAAGACTATATCAAACAGTTAATACTGGAGTGGTAATTTTAACAATAAAAAAATCACCCAACGTGTAGGACGTGAGCCTGCAAGTGTAATGTGAATTAGCAGATTAAAAATGAAGTTTGCATGCATGGTTTGTCAATTTACAAAGTAAATTAATGGTTTCCCTGTGACTTTTGGTCTGATCCACCTTGTTAATTTAAGCAATTTTGCCGCCGACAAAATGTCGAGAGATGCTTGTGAGGCTGTCACTTTGAGTGACCTGTTCCTGGGGCAAGAATGCCAACCTTAGATGACATTCTAGAGCACATTGGAGAGTTTGACTTGTACCAGAAAAGAGCGTTTTTTGTCCTGTGTTTGCTCTCTGCTGCCTTCACACCCATCTATGTTGGTATCGTTTTCTTAGGTTTTACTCCTGAGCATCGTTGCCGGACTGCTGGGCTTCCTGAATTAACAGCCAGATGTGGCTGGAGCCTTGAAGAGGAGCTGAATCATACCCTTCCAAAGAAAGAAACCCATGGGGATGTTTTCATTAGCCAGTGCCAGAGATACAATGTGGACTGGAATGTATCTGGGCTCAATTGCACAAATCCAATTAATTTTTTCACTGCTGACAGCAATATCAGCCACATTCCTGTTGTTGCATGCCAAGACGGTTGGATTTATGATTTCCATGGATCATCCATTGTGACTGAGGTAAGATCCCTGCAATAATCATAAATTACTTGCTAGGTGATAAAGCTACTGTAAAGAGCTAAACCTCTGCTGAGCCATTTTGGCCAGCTGAGATGGACACCAAAGGCTCTTCTCTTCTCCAGATGTTATTGCCTCTTGAAGTTAGACAGGTGGCTTCTGGAATGAAAGAGCTGACAAGCTCTGTCCCAAGGTAGATCTACTGATTATTTCCACATTATCTTTTAGACATCAAGCAAAATATGCACTAGTCATCTGGATTGAGTTTAAGAATCACCTCAGAAAAGGTGGTAAAATCAGGCACATTATGACGCCCTTAACGTACAACCATAAATTCAGGATCAATTACAGTCGTAAATCAAAGACTACCTGTAATTAATAAAACATATTGTGATTGGCCTAAGGAGTTGACTTTTGGTGTATCCTGTATAGATGTTTTAAAGAGGTATTTTTTAAAAGCCCTCAGATGTTAAATGGGAAATAAAGATGATATTGAGTAAATGTATTCAGAGAGGACAAATATTAATGAAGGAGGCATAAGACAATAATAATTGCCTTGAAAGAATTTGGAATTACATGACGAAGATTCAACCTTTGTCATGTTTAAAGGAGACTCATGGATCATAACAGGACAACTTAGATGTGCTGATGTAGTTTTAAACTATAAGATTTAATGTCTTAATTTTAATGTCTGTATGTTATTGTTAAATGCTCTGAACATTATATACAGCAAAAAAAGGTGGGGCAGATTTTTAATTGAATCATGAATAAACACAATATCCTGGCCTTTTCCCGAAACCCAACAAGAAAAAAGGAAAGATATTTTTGCTATTCTGTCTTAAATTTAAAAAGGAAGTTACTTTTGTGTAAAATATTTGAAACAATGGCGTACATTTGATGTACTTTCTCTAACCAGCACCCTTTATCTTTTCAGTTTAACCTGGTGTGCAAAGATGCCTGGAAACTGGATCTATTTCAGTCATGCGTGAATGTGGGCTTTTTTCTTGGTTGCGTAAGCATTGGCTACCTGGCAGACAAGTAAGTGAGATTTTCCATGTTGAATTGTAGTGTTTACTGTTTCTCTATTCCGAAGAAAAGAGGAAGCTGCAGAGACATTCTTTAGAACAAAGTTGTCTTTTGTTGGAAAACTAACACTTGGAACAGAATGTTGTATTATGTATTCAGCAAGTGAGAATATTTGCTCTCGCAGTTGGCCCTTATCTGCCCTTTCATTAGATCCAAAGAGATTCTATGCAATCTAAATATTACTTTGTTCAAAGAAAATCCATTCAGCCAACAGGAAATAAAGTGGTCTGACCTATTGTTTCCTGTGGCATCCTTCCATGATTTATGACCAATTAGACTTTATTAGCTAGTTTGGCTAATAAATTTTACTTAGCCAGTTTGGTGTAGTAGATAAGGCATCAAGCTAGAAACTGGGATGATAATAATAATAATAATAATAATAATAATAATAATGATGATGATGATGATGATGATGATGATGATAATATTGGGAGGGACCTTGGAGGTCATCTAGTCCAACCCCGTGCTCAGGCAGGAAACCCTATATCATTCTGGACAAATGGCTGTCCAGTCTCTTCTTAAAAACTTCCAGTGTTGGAGCATTCACCGCTTCTGGAGGCAGGTTGTTCCCCTGGTTAATTGTTCTAACTGTCAGGAAGTTTCTCCTTAGTTCTAGGTTGCTTCTCTCCTTGATTAGTTTCCATCCGTTGCTTCTTGTCCTGCCTTCAGGTGCTTTGGAGAATAGCTTGACTCCCTCTTCTTTGTGGCAGCCCCTGAGATATTGGAACACTGCTATCATGTCCCCCCTCGTGGTGTTTGTTCTCATCCTTAGGCCCAAAGCCAGCCCTCTCTTTCAGCTCCAGGAAGGAAGCAATGGCTAATCGCTTCTGAAAATCTTGCCAAGAAAACTGCAGAGACTTATTTGTCCATCTGGTTACTAGGAGTCAACACCGACTTGAAGGCAAAAGAAGAGAAAATATTATTTGCATGCTGTCATAATCTGCAAGGACAGCTGGAGATTAGCAACAACACCATAACAATCATACAGTAATAAATGTAAATGTTCATGGTAAACAATAAAAAATACAGTAAATGAAGTAATCTCATAAAAGTAAGCAACTTTTTAAAGATTTTGGAGCTGGATAGCTTGTGTGGGGTTTTGCAAGATCTAAGCATTTCCACCATGCCGTACTGACGTCTCTGTAACCTTAATAAATGCTTTTAGGAAAAAATATGCCTGAAAGTCATTTAAAGTGTTTTGTTAATCAGACACATGACATCATGCTTAGATCTGGATTCTTTTCCGTTACACATACATTCTAAGCATTTTTCCCCGCCCCTATTTTGGGGTCATGGTTCACATCTTCCAATTAACTTGGAAGATGTGATTTACTTCCGGTTTCTTTTTCCCGGGCTTTCACTGTTGCCTGATTTAACTATAAAAATACCAGACAGTTCTGCATATTGTCAAAGCAAGAATATACAGTATTTGCAGCATTGACACAGACGTTTTAAGAAGACCTGAAGAAGAGACACGGGGATGCCACCAGCAATAATATACTGCATTGCATTGCCTCCAGTCTGAACATAGATGGCCTTTGATCTCTCAATCTTTTCAATATGTTTCCACCTCACAGCACTCCCAAACAAGAAGACTGTTCTAAGTTAATGAGTTTTTAAAAAATTATCTAGAGTTTCATTGGAAAATAATTCTGTGTCTTCCATAACATTAATACTGTTCATCTCCCTTCCACTTTTCAAGTACATAATAATGACTGCAATGTCTTTTCTCTCTAGGTTTGGCCGAAAACGGTGCTTACTAATTACCATCCTAATAAATTCTATCTCTGGTGTTCTTGTGGCTGTTGTCCCTAGTTACACATGGGTAGTGGTTTTTCGCTTGATACAAGGAACGGTCAGCAAAGGAGGCTGGTTAACAGGTTATATCTTGAGTAAGAGTGTTAAATATTCAGTTAATACTGCATAATAGACTATTGTACATTAAGCATGCTTCTCACCCTACCCTTATACGTTAATTAATTAAAATAAAATAATTACTATTTCCATCTAACAAGATGGGGTACACCTTTCATTTATTGAATTAAAAGTTGCCATATAGGTTTTTTCATTATTTCAGAATGTACCAGTAGTAGCTTTTGCTAATATGGAAAGCTGCTTATTTCCTGTTCATAGAAGATGCTTTGTACAATTAATAAAGTATTAATAAATAATAAATAATAAAGTGAGATGTAGGAATATTTGCAGGGAGAAGTCAAAACACTGAAGGTGTTGGCCACAACCATGAGATCTGAGCCCTCCCCTTCCATAAAGTATGTCATGATATACCTTAAAAAGGGGTGGTGCTCAGGTCCCACAATTGTGAATGTTTTGATTCTCTTGTGGACAGCTTTGGTGGCATAGTGTGCACGTTTTCATCTTGGGAAAGTTCATAAAATTCCAGGAATATATTGAATACTTTTGATGATGTCATAGAAAGATGTGCTTCCCCGTTTTACAGAAGTTGAATTCTGAATTCTAAAAAAATGGAAACTTTCCTATTTGAGTACTGCATGTAGAAGACTAAAACTGAGCTCCCTTCCAATGATGATGATGACGATGATGATACAGTGCTATGTTTAATTTCCTCTGTCCTTTCAAAGTTGCAGAGTTTGTTGGTGTGAACTATAGAAGAACTGTTGGTATTGTTTATCAAGTGGCCTTCAGTGTTGGACTCCTCATACTTGCTGCTGTTGCTTATGGAATTCCTCACTGGAGATGGCTTCAGCTCGCTGTCACATTGCCAAATTTCTTCTTTTTGCTCTATTATTGGTAAGTAAGGCTGCCCTTCTAATTAAAACAGAAGAAAAACAAGAATGCACATAAAATATTGTTACCAAGAAGAACCTTTGGGGGGGGGATTTTCTTAAATTGCACTTTTGCCAGTTTTGCTTTGACTGTGTCACCCAAATTTAACATTCCAAGATGTTAATTTAGGGATGTGTATAATACTTTGGATTCAGAACTTGAAGGGTAACGAATGTAGCAATTATCTTTAAAACAGCTGTGGTTTTCCTTGCAGTCATTTGATAGCTACAGAGGGCAGCTGCGTGATCCTGTGAAAAGCCCTGGTGCTTTAGAGCGGCAGATAGGTGCTGTGCTCACGGTTCTGTGCACTCCAAAATATATTTTGTCAATTATTTCCAAGTTAGTATGCTTTAATTATGAAAGGTCATTGAAGATTGGCAATATTAATCCATGCGAAGCTCTTAGAAAAGAACTGTTGTAAGAGCTGAGTTTAAGCTGGCTTTTCATTTGTGGAAGTTTCATGTCCTACCTAGGTAACATCTTCAGTGCTATGATCTTGGAGAAGTGAGGTTTTCTGCCTATTGTGAAAACTGCTTACATGGGAGTAGATAGTCTATGCTGCTGCATTTTATTGTTTTCTATGTGATTATTGAGCTATTTTTGTTATACTGATGTGGTGCCACCTGTTATAGTGTCTTCTGATGTAACTTTAAACAATATCCAGATGAGCAGCAGATGATACTGCGTCAACATCACAAGAACTAAATAATATGTCAATCACATGGAAAACAGTGGCACTCACCCAATCACATACAACACTGATAGGGCAGACCACTATACATTCCCCAGCTAACCGACAAACCTCATTTCTCCAAAATCATAGCATTGAGATATGTCAGGCTCCAAGAACCAAGAAGGACATGTAGTAATTCTTCTAAGTAGATATTTTTATTGTTCCACACCTATAGACAGAATTTACCAAACTAAAGCAAACCGCTCCCTATATGAAGCATATACTTTGGGAACCATTAGGGAGGGCCTGTCTTCACCTTCTTTCTCTCACACAAACTAATTGAACTGACTTGCTGATTACTCCTCTGAAATGCACTTCCTCCAGACTACATTCTATGACAGATATGACCTTGGTGGGTCAAACCCAGACAACTCCTGACACTCCAACCCTGAATAACATACAGGTAGTCCTTGATTTATGACCATAATTGGGCCCAGAACTTCCATTGTTAAGTGAGATGATTGTTGCAGGAGTCGTGGCCAAATTTTACCATCATCTTTTGTTATGGTTTGTAAGCAAATCACCATGGCTGTTAAGTGATGCACCTGGTTGATAAATGAATCCAACTTCCTCTATTGACTTTGATTGTTGGAAGCCAGCTGGGTAGGACACAAATGGTCATCGTATGATCTCAGGACACTGCAACCATTGTAAATGCATGTCGATTGCCAAGGGCTCAAATTCTGATCGCATGACCATGGGGACCCTCTGATAGTTGTAAGTCACTTTTTTCATCACTTTGAACAGAGATTAAACAGATGGTTATAAGTCAAGGACTACCTTTGTATTCTCTATCATCAGTTTCATCATGTTGCAGAAAGGGAACTTGGACAAGATATTACAAAAGGGAACTTGTGCAAAAGGGAACTTGGACAGATGCTACACACTTACACAAAGAAGCTGAATCTTGTTTCAACCAATTCAAGACAAGTCCTATGTCACCCTGATTTTGTGTTACCATCAATGTTACACAGATACACTGTTTTACAGGTGTCTTCCAGAATCCCCAAGATGGTTGTTAGCCCAGCAGGAAAATGACAAAGCCCTGAAAATTATTAAACGTATTGCTAAGGGGAACCAAAAGACGCTGCCACCATCCATGGAGGTAATCAGACCTATCTCCTTGCACAGTTATCCCAGGAGTGGTATGTTGTGCAGATAACATTCCGAAATAATTTGTAAGTATTCTTTGCAGATATATTGCCTCAGTTCACCCTACTGTGGCCTCTGAGTAGATATTGCTGTATATTATTTAGAGTTTCTTGAATGGAGAATGCAGTATAAATATAATAGCAAATAAATAAGATCAACGTATTAGTAACCCCAAAGCAAAAGTTATTCCAACAGAATTGCTTCCAATGGACATCATTATGAACAGCATGGAAAGAGCAAAAAAACCCAACCCTGGTTAGGTAAGACTTTTGCACAAGGAAGTGACTGTAGAAGGAGGCTGGTGGAAAATTATTTTCCACCCTAGGTGTGTAAGAAGTCTGATTTCCAGAGATTCCACCCCTACTCAGATCAGTACAAATCCATTCATGAGGGCCCAACAGCTTTTGGGAAATACTTTATGGACAGATTAGGCTGTTGTGGTGAGGAGAGGATGAAAAAATCATCTCATTTATTGGCACTTTACTCCAATTGCTGTCAGTCAGGAAATGGAGAACAGAAAAACATTTGAGTTACAAAATAGGACACATTCCCTTTTTATATAGCTGACTGCTGTGTTCTCTATGTATTTTTACTTTAAAAAATTGAAAAGCTAAGTCCTCTCACCAGAATCTCTGATACCATGATTTCAACTACCTCCAACAGTGAAAAATGTTTTTGTTTTTTTTTGTCCTAGAAACTTCGGCCTGAGGAAGAAATAAGCGATAAGCCTAGCCCTTCCTTTATAGACCTGGTGAGAACACCACAGATAAGGAAACATACATTAATCTTAATGTACACTTGGTAAGAAAAGTTCATTTTTTAAAAAAGGTCCAAAGACATCTTCATGTAGCTGACCAGCTGAGGGGGAGGCTGCAGAAATAGTAAGAATGGCAATAGGAAACCGAAAGAGAGAGCATTGAAATCAAACATAGAATCAAATAGAATGTTTTCTTTTTTAATTAAACTTTAATTAAACAACTTATTTAATTTAATTAACTGCTACTTGTTTAGCTTGTGACTGTGGAATGGAAAAGGCTAGCCTTTATTACTTGAGCAGAATGTCTTGGCTCAATTTTTCTTCATGAAAACAATCCATTTCCTTTCACATCCACAATTTTTGAGAGGAATAACTACACTTAGCAGAGATCTTTAGTTAATTGACTGGATTTACACATTGTGGTAAGCCATTGTTTGATTAGCTACAGTTCAGTGATTCATCTCAGTTAGCAAATTTTACATTCTAGGCCAGGGATGTCCAACCTTGGCAACTTTAAGACTTGTGAACTTCATGTCCCAGAATGCCACAGCCAGTCAACCAGCCACTGTCAATTCTGGGAATTGAAGTTCAAAAGTCTTAAAGTTGCCAAGGTTGGATACCCCTGTTTTAGGCCACAAAATGTGCTTTACAAATCACAGTGCTTAAGTTCACCCAACAATATGCTAAGCCGAAATGAAACAAACCACATTATGGCTAAAGAGGTGTGAAGCAAACCTGCTTTTATAATGCAATGTGTCCAGGCATTAATGTCAATAGATAGCCAGGTACACTTTATATGCATTAATTCTCAAGCTCTTTGGCATTAAACTATACTCAGGTTTAATTTCAAACTGTCTTTCAGCTTTAGAAAATGGCATGAGGCAATACAGTATAGGACTTGAATAACGTTTTGAAAAAAAAAAACCCAAAGCTTGGCTTCATCTTCTTTCCCTAGGTTTACCAGCGCTGTAGTGTATCAGGGCCTCATCATGCATCTGGGAATTGGTGGAGGCAATATTCACCTGGACTTTTTCTATTCTGCTCTTGTGGAATTCCCTGCTGCCATTATACTCATAGTCACAGTTGACCGTATAGGCCGCCGTTTTCCCTGGGCTGTGGCAAATTTTATGACAGGAATTGCCTGTCTCATTACTGCCTTAGTTCCTGAAGGTGAGTGTGGTAATGATACACTGGGTAGGCCCCCTTTTCTCTCTAATCCAGGGGTCAACAACAGTGGCCTTCCAGTTGGGTTGAGTTCTGACATCCATGAGCCCCAGCCAGCATGGCTAGTGGTGAGGAATGAAAGGGGAAGCAGCCCAAAGACCCCTGGCTGTGCTCAAATTGTCTACTCCTAGCTGAAACGTGTGGAAGAAGTTCAGAATGTCAGTTTTCTCTCCTAATCCAATGCTATTCTTTGCAACTTTTTTCTATTAAAATATAATACATAAACCATTCCCCTCCCTCTCATGGGCAAGGGGAAATAGAATTTGGAGACCATTCTGCAAATGAAGTGGTCCAATCGGGAAAGAGTCAGGCAGACATTTCTTTGTCCACCCTTCCTTCATCCCAATTGCTTCATAAGTATAATCCATCCTTTTGTGTCATACACATGCAAAATTGTTGCCCTCCCCTCCCCCGCATGTGCTTTGCATAATGTCTATTGGGTAAACTTGACTCTTGAAGCCTGGAACTATGTATAAATGCCGTGCATGCTTTGGATTCTTTAAATGTATTTAGTAATTTTATAGGCTGCCACATTTCATATACATCACTCTGGGCAGCTCACAGTTAAAACAGAATAAAAACAGGGGAAAAAACCAACCAGAGTTAAAAAAAATCATAAAAATGACATAAAAATAGGAGCTGAGAAGAGTCACAAACACTAAGCTTACCCATGCTATCAGACCCGCTCCCCTTGACTTGAAGATAAAAGCCAAGTTTTTAGTGCTCTGTGAAAGACTAATCTAATTTCAGCATGGGTCTTGGTATCTAGAAGGCAGGCATTAAGGCAGAAAAGACCCTCTTCCTGGGTCCTGAGAGACAGCAGCCCTCTCTCTCATAGACAGAGAGATCTGGTCTCCTGCCAGATCTTCCAGACAAGTAGACACCACTGAGTACACAAAGTACTATACGCTTTTAGTATCTAATATATAAATATCCATTATATAAGCATGTATTTAGAGAAATAACAAAGAAAACAGCAGCTGCTTGGGTCATCTAGAACACACCAAATCCAGAATACAAGGCAATTTATTTCTATGCAGTTTGGAGGGTTTATGCCTATATATTATCCCTTAATCCCTTATTCCCTGATCATATCATGCTATTTGAGTTGTTATCAAATAAAGTAGAATTCCTAATTAGGTATGACCTCCTCTACCACTTCTGCATCTCCCACTCATAAAAAAAAAGTACAAAACCAACCCCCTCCCAAGAAGTTAAAAGACAAGATGAAGCTGAGGATATCATTCAATATCTTTTCAGATCTCTATTGGCTAAAAATGACTGCATCTTGCTTTGGCAGGCTGGGTATTACCATGTGCTATGAAATGGTTTGCTTGGTCAATGCAGAACTCTATCCAACCTTCCTCAGGTGAGTGAATCCTCTTCTGTTATCCTGGGTTGGGTTGGGATGAACCTTGTTGTACCTTTTTGGGTTTGGTTGGGCTGAACTAAGGAGGAATTTCCTGACAAATCAATTAAGCAGTGGAATGACTTGCCTCTACTCCATCATCGGAGATTTTCAAGAAGAGACTGAATAGCCATTTGTCTGGAATGGTATAGGATTTCCTGCTTGAGCAGAGGGTTGGACTAGAACAGTGGTTCTCAACCTTTTTAATGCCACGACCCCAACCGGTCATAAGTCGAGGACTAAACCGGTCGTAAGTCGAGGACTAAACCGGTCGTAAGTCGAGGACTAAACCGGTCGTAGGTCGAGGACTACCCAACTGGTCGTAAGTCGAGGACTTTCCCTGCCCGGGAGCGCCACGCATGTGTGGTTCTGCCCCCTGCGCCGGCCGAGGCGTAGCTGGCAAGTGGCAGAGACGGAGCAGGCCGACCACCAGCTGGCCCAGCCCAAGGGAGGTAAGGCACCCACTGGAAAAGGGGGAAAAATGGCGGACAAAAAAAATGGCAGACAAAAAAAATGGCGGACAGCCTTGCTTGGCGACCCCCATGAAATGGTTGATCGACCCAAATGGGGTCCCGACCCACAGGTTGAGAACCACTGGACTAGAAGATCTCCAAGGTCCCTTCCAACTCTGTTATTCTGTTATTGTTGCTCAAGTAGCTTTTGATATTCAAAGCCAACGTCTGATGCATACCAAGCTCATAAACATTTTTCTCAATTATTTAGTTTCAAAAGGGGAATGGTGCTCCCCCCCCCCAAAAAAAAGCTTGATAGATTCTCCAAGCAAAACGAAAGAACTGGCCTGAGAAATATGGCCGATTAAAAAAAATATCCACATTGTTTTGGAATCCTTTGAACACACTATTGATAAAGGTTTTTTTCCTGCTTTTTTTTTCCTTTTTTTAAAGGAACCTGGGGGTTCTTGTCTGCTCTTCCATGAGTGATATTGGGGGGATCATAACTCCGTTCATTGTCTATAGGCTGGCAAACATTTGGCACGAACTTCCACTTATCGTCTTTGGTAAGAATGACCTTTTGTTCTTTTGAGTGATTGAGAATAAGGGCACCACTTGTGCTGCTGTGATAGCAAGTCTCAGATTTCTTCCTGTGTCTCAGAAATATCCTGGCAGAACAGTACAGCCTTGGGGGACTTCTGGTCAAGCTCTTTAAAAAAAAAATCTCTAAATCTCAGGGTCAAGGCAATGGAATTTGTATCTTGTTCTATTAAGCAATTCAGCTTAATCAATGATTTACATAATGTGACTCTTGGCTGCAAACAGGACTTTTTCCTGTTCATCTGCAAAAAGATAAACATTGCCAAACAGAGGAAAGACACTGCATGTCATTAAAGATATCTAGGGAGGAAGAATTGCATGGACAAGAATTATGAGAAAAGGCCAGGAGTTAGATCAGAATGACCTATCACCTCACAGCCCTGAATTTTGGCATAATAACAAGCCACACCAGTGAAAAGACCAATTTTAAAACCAATTTCTCCCTTGCCCTTATGTGAGCTTTTGTGAGTCAGCCAATCTGGCAAATGAGCAGGGCAGCCCTTGGATAATCTTAAAAAAAAAACCTTGATACCATTGTTTAAGAGACCCTATCAGAGGCCAAACTAAGCACTCCCTATGAATTTATTTTAAAAAGAAGGCTGCCTAAGATTTTTCATTGCGAAAAAAGCCTGGATTATGAATACCTGCCTATCCACACTCCGGGGTTTGTTTGTTTTTTGCACTTGTCTGGAAATTCTTTCCCTCATATAATTTTGTGGTGATATTCAGTTTGGTCTGAATTCTGATTGTTGTTTTAGACAGTATATCTAAAGTCTTGGTGGAAAAAATAATAATGCATTTCAGGAATGCATTTTTACTTAATTCACAACTAAATGACTGAAAAGGCACGGTCAGTACGCCACCTCTGTGACAGGAGTCACCTTGTTCCTTTTGTTTCTTTTCTGTGCCTAAAGCTGTCATTGGCCTTGTGGATGGTGGTCTGGTTTTGCTCTTACCTGAAACCAAAGGGAAAACTTTACCTGAGACTATTCATGATGCTGAAAATCTGCACAGGTATGGGCATGCGTCGTGACATTTCTTAAAGAGGAATATTTTCTGTTCAGAATTAGGAAACAAGGTTGCATGGTGATGCAGGCTGAATGTTTCTTTTACCCAGCTTCCCTAACCTCCTGAAAAACGGTGTCTCGGGAGACCAACTTTATGAAGACTCAACCATTGGTTTGGTTGCTGTGATAAAACTGGCCAGCTTCCTAGGATAAAATATTCTAGCAATTTAAAACCATTTCCTGGATCGTTCTCTCCCTAAAGTGGGCCAAAATGCAAAGAGCTTCAATTAATCAGGGAAATCCGCCAACCATTTTACTAAAATATCTGTGAACAGCACAGCTCTCCTCAAAGCTTAAAAAATAACTTTCCAAGAGCTTCGTGCTTCAAAGGTCTTTTCCCACCTCTGAAAAACTTTCAGGCTTACATAGAAAAAAAAACGCACTTATGGGCTCTCATCCAGGTCCTTGAAGTAGCCTAAAGCCTCATGCTGCCTGGTCTAGCAGATAATATTGGCTGTTCATAACATTATTTTCTTTAGCATCCTAAGACACCCACACTGATCTGAAGGAGCACAGGGAACTTTCAGGAAGTTTTCTTGGGGTAGATGTCCTATTGGGGTCCCCATCTGAGGCCCACGTCTGCCCACTTTGACAGCTTACCACAGCAAATTCACATTTTCCCTAATGAGATGGCTGACATTGGGACAGCTTGATAAATTTAAAATAGTCCTTCTTTTCCAATCATTAGTGTGAAAGCCTGAAAAAAGTTGGGGTCATGCAAATCATAAAGGATCTAAAGGACTTCTTCCACAACATTTTCAGCTAACGCAGAGACACAATTCTTTTTTCTTTTCAAGAATAAATTGCTCAATGAGCTTATGATAATATACTTAAGAATTTGGATGAAATGGCTGTGGTTATCAGTTTGATTTATTTTATCTGTTCCCATTCATCTCTTGGTTCCTTTCCATAGACCAGGGAGGCCCAAAGAAAAAATGATTTATCTTCATGTGCAGAACTCAGATGTGTCAACTTACTGAAGAACAACTGTGTTCCCCACAAGTTTCCATGGATGTGTAAGGAGAGAAAAGCAAATGGGTGGATACAAGCACAACTCTTCAGTTATCTCAGAAATCTTTAAACATTCAATATCTTCTGCTTTCTGTCTCCACTTATGACTGTCATACATTCCAGGGAATTCTGTGGTCCTGGTAAACGTTTTAAAGCATTCCCCTCCAGTTATGTAATCTGGCTTGAATTTCTTGGATTGGAGAAACTGGGCTAGAGACGGTGCAACATGCAAATTATGTCTTTATATATAAGCTCCGTTGAATCTAATAAGCCATATGACTGTTGATAAAACTGCAGACTTAAGGAACCATACGTGGAAGGAGTCATTCAAATGGAAATATAACATAAAATATGATAGAGAAATTGACATTGTTTGAAAGCTTGATTTCAATCTGTTCCTATTTTTTTCCCTTAAGTCTTGTTCTGTTTCATTTATCAGCTGATGTTTTCTGTTTCTCACACACAAATGTATATGCGTTTTCATGAATATTTCTTTCAAATACACAATACTGTTAGCAGGGTTCCTAATATACAGATCTGTGTTAGAGCTTTTCAGAAAGAACCAGCATTCTGGGCCAGGGATCTCCCTTGGCTTAGGGGAGATGAACCAGAGGACACTAACCAAATAGTAATGCATAGTCCCAAAACATCCACCAGAGTTTAATTTTATTCTGCTTATAGGTAGTCTTCATTTAGCAATCAAAATTGGGACTGATGATTCAATCATTCAGCAAAATAACCACTAAGTAAAACTGCAATTGTGCTTATAATCTTACTTCAAATTTCCTTTGGTGTACAAGGTCATAAATACAAGGACCAACCATAAAGTTACTTTGTCATCACCATCATAACTGCAATCTGTTGTTCAACAAGACAGTTGCTAAACAAGGAGTACTTGTAGTTAACCATGTGTTCTTCTGTCCCACTAAACATTATCGTTTGATAGCAGCTTTTGGAAGCCTCCAGAGAAGGGCAGTACTCAAGATTTCAGGAGCAATCTGGGGCTCAGGATCCTTAACCTAAGTCCACCCAGTGAGTGGATGGTCAGTTTTGCAACCCGGAGACCTTTCTGTTTATGACTGGCAAAACTGACTCTTTACAACCAATTTTGAGGGAGAGGCGACAATTTAGTATACATTTGAAAATATGCTTAACCATTATTTCAAAAAGACAAGAAAACAATGAGACTCTAGAAAGAGTACAGAGAAGAGCAACAAAGATGATTAGGGGACTTGAGGCTAAAACATATAAGGAACGGTTGCTGGAATTGGGTATGACTAGTTTAATGAAGAGAAGGACAAGGGAGGTGACATGATAGCAATGTTCCAATATTTGAGAGGCTGCCACAAGGAAGAGGGGGTCAACCTATCCTCCAAAGCACCTGAAGGCAGGATAAGAAGCAATGGATGGAAACTAATCAATGAGAGAAGCAACCTAGAACTAAGGAGAAATTTCCTGTCATTTAGAACAATTAATCAGTGGAACAGCTTGCCTCCAGAAGTTGTGGGTGCTCCATTACTGGAGGTTTTCAAGAAGAGATTGCACAGCTATTTATCTGAAATGGTATAGGCTCTCCTGCTTGGGCAGGGAGTTGGACTAGAAGATCTTCAAGGTCCCTTCCAACTCTCTTATTCTGTTAAATTAGAGAAACAGCAGACGACCTATCACCCCTCATGTAAATAAGGCGGCTTTGACCAATTTGCCTCACTCCCCAATCTACTCTGGCTCTTAATTTCTCTTCCCCAAGTGTTAAGTGCAAGTTTCAAACACCTGTGCTTTAGAAAATGTACTGATTCACTCTTTTCTTCCTAACTTTGACTGCAACCTGACAAAACTGAGAATCTTGAAGATTATGCAAAAACCACACACAAAACATATCTTCGTAGAGCCCAATTTCGTATCCAGAGGCACACACACATATCGCTGCCTACCTGGACTGGTATGTGCAGTCTTCCATTCTTTTCACCTCCCACTTTTGGAGATGATTTTGGGTGGATTTTTTTCTCTCAGTAAAATTGGGCACTAGGATAGAAATGTTACATAAATGATGTGCTGGGGGAGATGCACTGAGAGGAATCCAATTGCTTTCTCCTGTTGGGAAGATCTATAAACATAAGCATGTTTATGTTGTGCAGAGAGCAGCTTATGGTTATTGGGGATGCTTTTCCCCCTTTCCCAAGTACCCCTGAGACTAGCATCTTGCTCAGAAGCTACTAGTCTAAGCTTGGAAATAGCAATTGTAGGGGCAGAGGGTAAATGCTTTCTTTTAAAAAGGCAGAAATCTCATGGTTATCTCATATTAAAACCAAAGACCATCATCTGAAATCCAGAAAATTGGCTGGATCACCAGAAAGGAGATGAATGATTCTGTGAAAGTGGGGGGGGGGGAGTGAATATGCAATCCAGAACTTAAATGTATTGAGGGGATAAATAAAAGATTATTAAAACCCTGAGCTTATGAAGTAGAACTAGTTCCTGTTTTAACATAATTGCGGGTCTCGAATCCAAGGAATTGATTCCCCAACCTCACTGCAGAGATCTTACTAACTCTAATGCAGTTCCCTTAATTAAACCTACTGCTGATTTTTCTATCAGTAAGGAGATTCTAAGAGGAGATTTCCCACCTTCCCCTTGAGCTATCCAATAAGAAAAAAATATATCCAACTTCTTGAATAGACAAGAACAACTTTACTATTGGCAATAGAAAAGCAATAAGCATACAGATATACAGACAGTATCAAACAGGCACAGGATTAATTTTAAGCAGGGGGTTGGACTAGATGACCTCCAAGATACCATCCAACTTTATTATTATTATTATTATTATTATTATTATTATTATTATTATTATTATTATTATTATTAATAATAATAATAATAACAACAATAACAATAATAAAAATAAGGTACTGAGTTCAATGGGGTGATTTTCCATATGTCCCACAGAGGAGCTTGTTCAGAGCCAGCAGTTCCTACATCCATACAGTACATCCGGGTGTCAAACTGCCAGTCGACGGGTGGGATGCGTCATGCCGAAACCGCGCCCACCCCAGCTCCAGCAATGGGGAAAAGGTTGTGATACATCGCGACACGTCACGTGATGTGACGAGTTTGACATCCCTGCACATATATACTGAGCAGTTGCCTTTAGCATGCAGCACATCCAAGGCATAGTGCATATTTAAACAAGCTAACTCTCCCTCCTACCTACCTCATAAAATGCCCAAAGAGTTATCTCTGCAAAAATCTCATGGAGCAGTTCTCCCCTTCTCTTCTAGGCTGCTTAATCTCCCCAATTAATCAGTGGAACAGCTTGCCTTCAGAAGATGTGAGTACTCCATCACTGGGAGTTTTTAAGAAGAGATTGGACAAGCATTGGTCAGGAATGGTATAGGGTCTTCTGTTTGAAGGGGGGTTGTACTAGAATACCTCCAAGGTCCCTTCCAACTCTCTTATTCTGTAAATTTTGTAAATTTCTTCCTGCCTGGCCCATCTGAATCCTATCTGCTTTTCTTCTTGGTCCTCCAAGCTATTATCCTCCCACAGCTGATTGATCTGCTGTGCAAGTTGCCCAACAGTGAAATGGTCAGATGCCTCTGTCCATCTGCACTGGCCAAGCTGATACTATATTTGTGAATCTTTGCACCCCCAGCACCACTCTACCCTTGTTGAACCCTGCTAGACAAAAACCCTCCTTTAACTCTTATCTAATCATGGAGGGTCTCTTTTTTTCCTACCTTAAGACTTTGCTCATATTCCTTTTAGCTGTTTATGTTACCTTTTCTCCTTTTTCCTTAATTAATATTCTATTTCTTTCTTTTTCCATCCTTGATTCACCCAGTTTTGAGAATCTATGTTGTTTGGGCATCTACAGTTTTTGTTTTTTCCTATCTCTTCTGGATTTTGTTTCTTTTTCTCCATTCTTTGGGATAAACCTTCACTTTTTTCTAGACATCTCCATTATTGACTTCCTGATTCAAAGCTATCCAGTGAGAAGCCCTTTACTGCTTCTCTTAATCTCTGTTTATTTCCAAGGGTGATCATTCCTCTACATTTGACTCCTTCCAGAACCAAAGTACCCATATTAATTTCCTTACTTGTCCTGGCAAACTCTTGCCACTTTGCACCAATTTTAAACCCTTTGGCTATTTTTCAACTCTGCCGTAACCAACAGTATAATATAGACATTTCCATTTATTTATGTATTGATCTCTTTTCCCTGCAAAAGGATGTTTATCTTGTTTCTGGGCACTACAAAGAACCTCCCAAAGATTCACAGTGTATGCATATACATAGAAAACTCAATGGAGTTACAAAAGTTAAAATAAAATCTAGAACCTCCAGTCATAAATACAGTGTTTAAATATCAGGTAAAAAGTATTATTTCCACTGCCCTCTTATTTTTATTGTTTACATGCTGCAAATAGTATATTGACCATGCTCATCAGTTTAACACAGGCACCCATGAAAGAAGCAAGTGTGGTGGGTGGGTGTGTAAAATACCTGTCCAAATGAAAGACTGTATAATGTAAAAAATTTATTAGTTAGTGATTAGATATGGACTTTTTATGGACAATAGCTGAGTACACACATTTCAAAAAGAATTAAACTTGAATTTGCTTCAAGACTGATTGTTTAATGCAGGTTTTTGGAAGTTTTCTATGTCATCAATGGTCTCGGGCAAGGTGCTTCCTTTGGTCTCAGGCAAAAGCAGCACTGATCCAGCAGCTATCAATCCTATGACACCTACGAATAAAACATAACAAAAAACATCAGAAACTGAGTTATGACATATTGTCAAGATGGACACACAATCATTTTATTTTGGATCTTTTACTTTTGCTGCATCAATATTATCTGTATTAAAAATTGGGATTCTTAACCTTGTCGTACCATGGGTCCCTTTGAAAGTCTGGTGACCTAGCTTGAACATCTGTCATTTCTTTTTTCATGTACAGCTCTAATTTGT